TTGAGTCTTAGAAGAATGTTGTTTAGTACGCAAAGCCACAGCAGCGGCGACAGTACCCCGCCTTGCGGAGTACCCCGCTTTGGATGACTGATGACTACGCTGGTGCCTAGCTTAGCGTTTACAATCTTTGTACGAAGCATGGTAGATATCCAGTTTACCAGGAAGTTTTCAATCCCCAGGTTTCTGAGTGATTGCTCTATCGCCTCCAGACTAACGTTGTTGAACGCCCCTTCTATGTCCAGGAAGGCCCCCAACGTATATTATTTATTTTCCAGCGATGATTCTACCTTGTGTATGACCTCATGGAGCGCAAATTCTGTGGAGCGCCCTTTTAGGTAAGCATGCTGTGCAGTAGACAATTCTCCATTGCCTAGTTTCGAACGAATGTGCATGTCCAGTAGCCGCTCGAAAGTTTTCATTACTGAAGTCCTTAGGCACCGTGTATCCTCTCTTGCCTACCTTGGGAATGAAAACTACTTTAACACTTTGCCAAGTAGACGGAACATGGTTGAGCATTATGCATGCTTTGGAAATGCTCTCCAGCCATGAAATAGCCCATGCATTGCTGGAAAGATCCCATCCGGACCCGGAGATTTGTCCGGAGAGAAGCTGTTAATTGTCCATGCAATCTTCTCGCGCGTGAAAATTCCGTTAACGACATTAATGGATGGTGCCGCTACGTTGCTATCTACACCTGAGACCTGCTTTAGGTCACAGCCTGGAAAATGGGTACGAAGAAGGAGTTCTAATGTCTCCTTAGAGCTATTGGCCCATCCTCCATCTTCCTTTTTTAGGAAGGAAGGATTGCTGTGTTCCTTGGATAGGATCCTCCCCATTCTGGCGGATTCTTTCGTTGATTCTATAGAAGAGCAGAAATCCCTCCAGGATTCCTGTTTTGCTTTGCGAATTGCCTTTTTGTAAATTCTCAAGCTATCTCTATAGGTCTGCCAGTTGCTCGTGGAATAGCTTAAGTTGAAAGCTTTGCGAGACTTTCCTAAGTTCCGAGATCTCCTCTCCCCACCATGCAGGATATTTGTTCCGCCCGAAGCTTACGGAACAGGAGACTTTAAAGGCCGATCCCATAGCCTTTACGAATTTGTTGCACTTGGTTTCTATATCTTCCAAGGTCGTTAAATTATTATTGTAATGTTTCCCAAGTTTGTTACTGACCACACTGGCGAACCGCCGCTAGTTTGTTCTCTTTGAGTTACGAAAAGGAAGGGAAACATTCTGGCTAACCGATAAGTTGAACAGTATGTACCTATGATCTGAAAAAGATTTCCGATCAGATACCCTCCAGTTGTCTACTTTAATGCCATCTCTACTACTATAATCGTTAGTTAGTGTTATATCGAGCACTTCTTCCCATCCCCTAAAAGTATCAGTGCTAGGAAACGTGAACGTCGGAGTGCTACCTCGATTACAAATTATTAGGTTAGTGCTAAGAATGTAATCGAAAAGAAACTCACCGCGAGTATTTATTTCCGAGCTGCCCCAGATTGAATGCCTGTAGTTGCAATCGCATCTGATAAGTAGATTTTGCGAGTGAAAGTTCTCCACTAGTCTACGAACCACATCCGGTGGTGCGTCCTCGTTGTGTGGCATGTAGCACGAGGCGATGACCATGCTGGTACCACCAGCCGCTTCGAACTTCGTGGCTGTTAGATCCGATGAGCTGTGAAGGGATGAGAAAAGTATGGTATTGAGATTTAACCACAACACAAGATCTAGGCTTACCGTCCGATTTCTTGTAGAATACCTCGTATCCATTCCGGTGCAGCCCCTTCACCTCGGTGTTCCATACCCAGGGCTCCTGAATGAGCGCGATGCCGACATCTTCCTCCACCAGGAAGACGGAAAGGTTGTCCGTGGCCAGCCTCGAGTGCTGGAGGTTAATCTGGACAACCTTTAGACCCATTATCAATTTGGGTCAGCAGTTGGGTCAGCGAGCAGCATGCCTTCCAGCAGCTTATTTGCGTCGTCGACCATGTCAGGCTCTTCTTCTTCAGCATTGTTCGCCCGGAAAATTTTTACTTTGGCTCGCCGGATACCAAAGCGAAGGAGACAGTCGACCTTTTCCAAAGGCTCGATACTTTCCTCACCAATGAGGAGTAAGAAGGACATGCTGGTTGTTTGTGACTCCTCAGCCTTGAGGATCACCCAGTCGTCCATCGGGATTTCACGGTCGTGTGTACGCAGATATTTTAGCAGCGCCGCGCTATCCATCTCTACACGTGGGAGCCAAATGCGAGCTCTCGGCCTCCTGGGGATGTCACTGGCAGGGATGAGCTTGAGCTTCAAACCCTCCCAAGCATCACTGATGCTCGCCAAGCTCTTCTCCAGGAAAACCTTTGAGAGTTGGTCCTCACATTTGACCACCCTGTAACCGCGCACTACCTCCGCAGAGTCGAAACTGGGGAGATGGCCATCCGGCTGTGCCATGACCTGGTCAATGACCATTTGAGACAGCCGCGCCTCAATCTCCCCCCACTTGTCAAGCACCGGCTTCGCCTTGTTGGAAATCGCATCTACAAGTGCCACCTGCAGGCTATCTCTTACCACCTCCCTGAAGCCACGCCGTGGCCCAGCTGCAGCAGCTGCACTTGCCTGGTCAGCGGAAAACCTACCCGCATCCTTGTTTTCGGTGGCCTGGTACAGCCGGTACTCATCCACCATCGCCTGAAAACGGATTTTGTCTTCGGCGTCCTTCGGGTTCACGATCCCTTTGGTCTCATTCCGCTCTATCCTACCGAGGATAGATA